AATTGGTTGTTGCCATTGGGTTATCCCAATATCGAGATCTTATCTGATTATTATGATTTTTTCGGGGGGGATAGTTTGTTTTTGATGAATGTGTGTAATTATAATTGTGTTCCGCAAAATTGTTTCTTGTGAACGTTCTGCGTGTTTTGACGGTATTGTCATGGGTCTATATGTTTGATAATCCATTTGTGAATATTTTGGAGCAACCGAAGGTTTAACGGTTGATTGTAAGGTTACCTGTGGTAGTGAAGTGTTTGTATTTCTTGGTGTTGTTAAATTTGGACGTATTGGTGAAATACTTTGTTGTGTAGTTGTTGTTGTTTGGACAATTTCTTCATTTATGAAGTGTGATGGTGTCTGAATATCTTGTTGAGTGAGGTTCCTAGTTCCATTAAGGTTTTCATTGTGTATGACGGTCGAGTTTAAGCTGTTATTTCGCGTATCGGGTAAAAATGTATTGTAGTTTAATGGTGTTGCATCAATGGATAATGGTATTACTCTTACATAATCTCTTGTATAAGATATTGTACTTATTGCTTGACTTGCAATTGATTGTGGGATATTTATAAATGCATAATGAGACCATTCGGGGTCCCAAACGTAGTCTGACTGTTCTGTGATGGCGGTATCATCGTTTGAATTTTGAGGTCTGAAATTTTTTCTTGCTTGTGAAATTAAATCTATATTATGTGTGAAATAATCTATTATAAACCATGCCAAAATTTTTTGTAAGTCATGTTTTGTATGTTGTGAAACATCATCTTTAGTGAAATTTTCTTTAATTATATGTAGAAAAGTTGAAAATAGTGTGATTTCATGTCGTACCCTTATATGTTTAGATGTCTCTGTCGGTGAGACACTTGGGATTGGAATTTCGTTTTCTAAAATTGAGAAATAACTATATATTATGGCAAAAACTTCATTAGTGAATATGGAGTTTGCTCTTTGTGAGTTATGATATTGTATGCTTTTTATGTATTCTGAGAACACTTTTGAAAAGTCTAAATCAAGGTCGTCTGTTTGAATTACATATTTGCGGTGATTCGGGTTTGGTGAGCTGAATTCTATGGTGTACATTCCGTATTGTTGTGTCAAATTACATATATCTTTCAGATAGTGATCAATAATTTGTCTTTTGATTTTTACATCTGGGAACTCTGTTTTACATGGGCTGATTCCGGGTTCAAATAAATTTAGTAGTAAATTCTTGCAAAGTATATGCTGTCCTCTATCATTGGGTGCATCTACGAGGAAGGGGAAGATATCGTCATCATCTGGACTATCTCCACTTCGAGTGTGTGTTTGGCTCATTTTTTCGTTTAATGACTGTTAATAGGTCATTATCGATGTGTCTAATTGGTTGATTCCAGTTATATAAGTGTACTGGTTTGTGTTTATATTGCTTTTTTATTCGTCTTTTTCCTCTTTTTGATGAATTCGAAGTTGTTTCTGAGTCGGAAAAATATAATTGATCGTGAATGGGGCAATTTTTATCTATAGATTCTTTTAATTTATAAAGTTCGTCTAAATTGCTGGCTTCTGATTCTGAAAATGCGTTTCTATTTTTGGAAAATCTTTTTCGTGTTATTTGTCTTTGTTTGTTTATTATTTTTCTTTTTAGTGTTTGTCGTTTTGTTCTGATATATCCAACTGTTTGTGTATGAGGTGTGATTACAAGGTCGTATTTTTTGTTATCTATTTCACAGTTGTGTAAAAAGATTGTTTGTTTGTTTCCTAGATTTTTAAATGACATAAGGTTTAGGATGACGGATGCAAAAATTTGTTAGATGATTTCTATTTTCTTAAATTATTAGTCCTTACGATTTTTTGGTTAGCTTAACCTGGGTCTATTGTTCAGGGTTGGAGAGAAAAGTATATCGATTCCGAAGAATGATTTTTACTTTCTCGTGGCTAGTATAAGTTAAGGTGTTAACTTACTTAATCTTACTTAAGGGTAGTGATTGTGTTCAAGGGTTGGAGAATAGTAAATCGATCCACAAGGTTCAGGTTTAATTAGAACGCGAGTAGTTCGTTAGATACTATTTTAAACTTACTAAGTGTAAGATTTATCCTGGGTCTTGATAAGAGGAGGGTTCAAGTGAAGGATGAATAACCGAAGTTCTTCACTGTTTATCATAATTTGAATGATTAGTTTTGTTCAAAAATTTCTATTAGTCTTGGATTTTTTGAAAGGGTTGGATAGTGAATCGACGTTTGAGGTCGTTAGACACTAGCTAAGGGGGTGGGGGAGAACAAAATTGTTCTTTTTGATCCAAGGATAGGCCTTGATGATCAAGTTTTGTAAATTTAATTAAATAGAAAATTAATTAAGATCCAAGGATAAGCCTTGATGATCTGATTTTAAGATTAAGTGGATTTAAGTTTAAAATGGTTTAAATTTATTTAAGAAAAGATTTAGTGGCTTTATGATGTTAGTGAGCTTATGATTGCTGTTATGTTTTAGGTGATGAAGCTGGGACAACTGATGATTTTATGATTACTAACAGTTTATTGTCATGCTACTAATTTTATTTTGATTTTCAATAAATATTTTCCAAACATGTTTTATAGAATACTGCAGAATTTTAGGAAAACGATCTGAGATCTTTTTATCAATCGTTATTGTATATTAATAGTTTTGTTTAGCGCCTGAAATGATTATGAAGATTGACTTCAAGATTTTATGTTTGCAAATGAAAATCTAAATTCATTGCTAATAAAAATCTAAATATAAAAGTTTGTGTTGGCTTTTGCCGTACTATCATATAACTATTTGGTAAGTTTCTACTCTGTCGTATGTCGTCTCTGGTTCGAGGTCTTCTTGCAATTCCGGGTATTTCTCTTATCGTTCGGAATATTGGCTTTGATCTATTGAGTCGTAGAGACATTTCGATTAAATTATCGTCGTGTAACATTTTAAAAATGTTTTGTCTAAATTCTAATCTATTTTTGGTTAATTCTAAGCTATTAAGGTCTTGTTCGAGACTTATGGTCGCACCAGATGAGTTAGGACCGAGGTGGTTAACTCATAGAGTAATTTCGGATAGGGTGCACCGTCTGCTCGTCACGCTATCTTATTTTCGGCCGGATAGATTCGTGCAACTTCTTAGTCTAATACCGATCCTTATCTTACTCTTATACTATCTAGTCTCAGGTTGTTTAACTAGTCTCTGCTAGGCTCAATAGATCTAGGGTATACTGGTTTATTGCGGCTGCTGAAGTTCCTTTGGAGAGGCAACTAAATTCTAAGTTAAATTCAAATCTCTCTGGTGCTGAAATTACAAGTAATTTCAGCACTTACAAATAAGTGGGTTGTTAGTTAGATGGATCATGATTGGTTAATATTAAATACTTTACAGTGGTAAAATATCTAATTTATCCAATCATAATATGTAGTTTAGATCAGGTTCCAATTGGTATAATATTGAATTGAACAAACTTTTTAAAAACTACTGAATTTTTTCCAATTGCTGCTTAAAATGTATTCGAAATTTTGTCCATTTTTTACCGATCGAATCTGATTTTTGAGTTCTAATGTAAAATTCTAGATCCTAGTCATCCTGAAAGAAAAAGAAGAGGCACAAAACTACCCAGATGCCGCTTGATCGTAATACCTGATTCAACTTTCGGTTTTTGTCCCCATTACTTTTCGCGCATCATGTCATTATAATCTCAAAATGGTTAAAACTATTCATGGTATGTGTGCGTTAAAAATTCAGTTTGCAACTAACATAGTCAGTATTTGAATTTCATCTGACCCTTTAACTACTAAGTCTGAATCTAAGCAGAGGGAGGTTTCTGTTCTTCTTTTCAGACTGATTTTGTGATTGTAATCACAAGACTACTCTGAAAAAGGCATACAAATCTCCACCTGCAGCGATTCAGACTTAGTAGTTGAAGGGCAAAATAAAACTCAAATTGCTGATTTTGTTAAGTAAAAACTGCATCTATGAGGCACACATAAACCATATACATTTTCAACTATTTTAGGATTATAATGACAAGATGCGCGAGAAACTAATGGGGACACAAAACCAAAAAAATGAATTAAGTATTACGATCAAGCAACATCTCGTAATAGTTTAATCCGCTTCTCTTTGTTTCAGGATGAATAGTATCTGGAACTTTACATTATAACTCGAAAATCAGATTCGATCGGTGTTCTAACAAAATGAACAAAACTTTGAATGCATTTTAGCAGGAGAAGGGAAAAATTTAGTAAACTATTCAAAAATTTGTCCAATTGTGAAATTATACCAATTCAATCTGATTTTCGAGTTTAGCTGATACCTGAGATTCTCAGGGATTCGACTCCTTGACGACCCAAAGGCCCCATTTTACTACTGTTTTAAAACAATCCTTTTTTGTCTCACCGACATTACACCGGTTTGACCATCCTTCAAAAAATTCCCCCATCTTACAACTTCTTATAAGATTTGTAGGAAAATTTCCCTATCTTACAACTTTTTGAAAGTTCGTTTTTTCCAGATAGTTGACTGTTTTGAGAACAAAAAACTTCGAAAAAACCCTTCTGATTAACTTTTAGTGATTCGAACTTTTTTCCCCACATTTCTTACAACTTTTCTTATAAAAAAAGTTGTAAGATAGGAACTTTTCCCACAAAAAATGATCTTCATTTTATAAAAGAGCCCTTTTAACTTTTGGGGGGAGAGCGCGCAATGTTTTCCTCGAAATTTTTCAAAAAACGCCCAAAATTGTCTTTTTTGACAGGTTTTTCATTAATTCGCCTACGGCGCAGAAAGTTTGATTTAAACAGGGTCTGCATAATGACTCGGGAGAGCTCACAAAAGAACTTTCGTTGTACAAAAAGGTCGACAAAAGGTTTGAAATTCTTTCGAAAATCCACCCCTACTTTGAGAAAACCCTAGATCCGCCCTATATCTAGCGTTATCTTCTATTTCTAACATAAGATTTTATTTGTAAGCCATGCACGGCAAGTTAAGGGTTTGGAGTTGCAAAAATAAGTGCTTTTAACTCACCGGCGACGTTGAGAAATTTAGCTAAAAAAAGTTTCTCAATTAAAAACTGCGCAAGCGAAGTGGAGCAAGAAATAAAATTGATCAAACAAACTTACTCAGCAGCTCAGCAGAGATGATGGACTCCCGCCCTAAACAGCTTGAAAAGTATAACAGGTGGAAGCGTGTTGAGATCAATTGCTGAGAACTTACCAAAAAAGTCCATAAGTAGCTTTTTTTGTTTTTTTTTAATCTTCAACTTTCACGAACATCACGAAAAATCGGCACCAATTGCTCCTCGCCTCCTAAAACATTCCTGCACACACCACTAATTTGATTTCACGTACAAGTTTTGGCTGTTTTAGGTGTAGCAGCTATACGTTATGGAGGTTCAGAAAAGTGCATTGTTGTTACAATTAATTACCGTCTGCTGCAGGGGCGGATTTAGAAGGGGGCGGACGCCCCCCCCCCCATGGGATTCGACCCCCTGCCGACCCAAAGGGTCCCCTCTATGATAATTTTTAAGAAAACCATTTTTGGCCAACCGACCCTAAAATTTTTCTAAAGGCGCCTTTGGCGCCAATATATACTAACATTGAGGGGGAGCGCGCGCCAAAAAAACGGCTTTTTTGACAATTTTTTCAAAAAATTGCCTGCGGCGCAGAAACTTTTACCAAGGTAGGGGCAAAATAGTACTTTGGGAGAGCTCGAAAAATCAATTTGGTCGACCTAAAAAAAAGGTCGTCAAAATGTTCGAAAATTTTTTGATAATACGTCCCCCCTCGAGAAAATCCTAGATCCACCCCTGGTCTGCTAATCAATTAATTAGCCTCTACGCTTTCAAAAATGATAAATTAATAAAAAGATTAGTGTCTGGCGTGCACAGGTTTTTTGTTATGAAATATTTAAAAAAACTCGGTTAACTATTATTGGTTTGTATTTATAACTGTTGATTATGAAGCATAGATTTTTTTGAAAAGTGTAAGACAACTAACAGTTGGTGATTGTGACCCACGAAGACTTTTCTCCTGTGAACTTAGATGTTGCCTGTAACCGCACTTCGTTGTGAGCACAAGGATTGATTCCGTCTATTGTTGCGAACAGATCTAATCAAAATAAATGAGGCATTCATGTGATTACTTAATTGAATGATGCATTTTGGTTTAGTGATCTGGTCTGCTCGTTTTCGGTTCTCTGATAAAACGGTTTACTGACCTACCACTTTTTATTCTGACCACGGAGTAGGGAGAAACTTTGGGTATTGGTGCTTTGTCCCTCGTAAAATCAAGTATCACGAAAAAACTGATTTTGGATACTTTTGCTCCATAAGTTCTTTAAAGATTGGTGATTGCTAATCCGCATATACATCAGGTTGAGCAAAGTAAATGCTATGGAATACAATTGTCACTTCAGTTCGAGTAACTTATTGGTTACTAGAAGTAATTGAAGCTCCATAAACAACAAATGAGCCAACGTCGGCTCAGATAGGTTAGCTTTTTGAACCTGTTTTAGCGGCTGTTACGTTGTCGCGCAAAGTTTCCAACCCATCGGTGATAAAGTACACAAGGTAGTGACTGTCTTCATGTTCTGAAAATGCCTTGGATGTTTTCCAGCTTATGCTCCAGACAGAGGGGGATTTCAGATCAACTGTAATTTCAGATGGTTGCCATTCTTCTGAACCTGGAGAAAAAAAACATGAACATGGCACTATGCAATGAGCGTTTCGATAAATTTTACTAGTTTATTAAACCAGAAGTCCAGAAGGTTTAAATGTACTCAAATTTGGCTTTTTCTATTTTTTTCCGCGGCGTTTTGTTGTCACAATTCTTTTTCAGCAGAATTACCGTTGTGGAACCTGATCTAAACTACATTTTATGATTGGATAAATTAGATATTTTACCAATGTAAAGTATTTAATATTAACCAATCATGATCCATCTAACTAACAATCCACTTATTTGTAAGTGCTGAAATTACTTGTAATTTCAGCACCAGAGAGATTTGAATTTAACTTAGAAATTAGTTGAACTCTCCCGAGTACTTTAGCAGCCGCAATAAACCAGTATACCCTAGATCTATTGAGCCTAGCAGAGACTAGTTAAACAACCTGAGACTAGATAGTATAAGAGTAAGATTAGGATCGGTATTAGACTAAGAAGTTGCACGAATCTATCCGGCCGAAAATAAGATAGCGTGACGAGCAGACGGTGTACCCTATCCGAAATTACTCTATGAGTTAAACCCATCGGTCCTAACTCATCTGGTGCGACCATAAGTCTCGAACAAGACCTTAATAGCTTAGCATTAACCAATAATAGATTAGAATTTAGACATAACATTTACAAAATGTTATACGACAATAATTTAATCGAAATGTCTCTACGACTCAATAGATCAGAGCCAATATTCCGAACGATAACAGAACTACCCGGAATTGGAAGAAGACCTCGAACCAGAGACGACATACGACAAAGCAGAAACTTACCATATAGTTATATGATAGTTCGGCAAAAGCCAGAACAAACTTTTGTATTTAGAATACTACTAGCAATGAATTTAGATTTTCATTTGCAAACATAAAATTTTGAAGTCAATCTTCAAAATCATTTCAGGCGCTAAACAAAATTATTAATATACAATAACGATTGATAAAAAGATCTCAGATCGTTTTCCTAAATTCTGCAGTAATATACAAAACATGTTTGAAAAATATTTATTGAAAAATCAAAATAAAAATTAGTAGCATGACAATAAATGGTTAGTAATTATAAATCATCCTGTTGTTCCAGCTTCATCGCCTAAACATAACAGCAATCATAAGCTCACTAATATCATAAAAATACTAAATCTCTTCTTTACACAAATTTAAAACATTTTAAACTTAAATTCACTTAATTTTAAAATCAGATCATCAAGGCTTATCCTTGGATCTTAAATCATTTTCTATTTAATTAAATTTAAAACTTGATCATCAAGGCCTATCCTTGGATCAAAAAGAACAACTTTGTTCTCCCCCACCCACTTAACGAGTGTCTAACGACCTCAAACGTCGATTCACTATCCAACCCTTTCTAAAAACCCAGGACTAATAGAAATTTTTGAACAAAACTAGTCATTCAAATTAGGATAAACAGTGAAGAACTTCGGTTATTCATCCTTCACTTGATCCCCCCTCTTACCAGACCCAGGATAAATCTTAGACTTAGTAAGTTTAAAATAGTATCTAACGAACTACTCGCGTTCTAATTATACCTGAACCCTGTGGATCGATTTACTATTCTCCAACCCTGAACACAATCACTACCCTTAAGTAAGATTAAGTAAGTTAGCACCTTAGCTTATACTAGCCACGAGAAAGTATAAAATCATTCTTCGGAATCGATATACTTTTCTCCCCAACCCTGAACAAATAGACCCAGGTTAGGCTAACAAAAAAATCGTAAGGACTAACAGTTTAAGCAAATAGAAATAATTTAACAACCTTTTGCATCCGTCATCCTAAACCTTATGTCATTTAAAAACCTAGGAAATAAACAAACAATCGTTTTACACAATTGTGAAATAAATAACAAAAAATACGACCTTGTAATCACACCTCATACACAAACAGTTGGATACATTAGAACAAAACGACAAACATTAAAGAGAAAAATAATAACTAAACAAAGACAAATAACACGAAAAAGATTTTCAAAAAATCGAAACGCATTTTCAGAATCAGAAACCAACAGTTTAGACGAACTTTATAAACTAAAAGAATCAATAGATAAAAATTGCCCAATTCACGATCAATTATATTTCTCTGACTCAGAAACAACTTCAAATTCATCAAAAAGAGGAAAAAGAAGAATAAAAAAGCAGTATAAACACAAACCAGTACATTTATACAATTGGAATCAACCAATTAGACACATTGATAATTACATATTAACAGTCATCGAACGAAAAAATGAGCTCAACGCACACCCCAGGTGAAGAAAGTCCAGATGATGATGATATTTTCCCCTTTACTGCAAAAATTTACTCTTAAATTTGTTTGAACCCGGAATCAGTCCATGTAAAACAGAGTTCCCAGATGTAAAAATCAAAAGACAAATTATCGATCACTATCTAAAAGATATATGTAACCTAACACAACAATACGGAATCTACTCCATAGAATTCAGCTCACCAAACCAGAATCACAGTAAATATATAATTCAAACAGACGACCTTGATTTAGAATTCTCAAAAGTATTCTCAGAATATATAAAAAGCAACCAATATCATAACTCACAAAGAGCAAACTCCATATTCACCAATGAAGTTTTTGCGATAATATATAGTTATATCTCAATATTAGAAAACGAAATCCAGATACCAAATGTCTCACCGACAGAAACATCTAAACATATAAGAGTACGACATGAAATCACACTACTCTCTAGTTTTCTAAATATAATTAAAGAAAATTTCACGAAAGATGAAGTTTCACAACATACAAAACACGACTTACAAAAAATCTTGGCATGGTTCATAATAGATTATTTCACACATAATATTGATTTAATTTCACAAGCAAGAAAAAATTTTAGACTCCAAAACTCAAACGATGATACTGCCATCACAGAACAATCAGACTATGTTTGGGACCCCGAATGGTCTCATCCCGCATTCATAAACTTCCCACAATCAATCTCAAGTCAAGCAATAAGTACGATATCTTATGTAAGAGATTATGTACGAGTAATACCATTAACCATTGATGCAACACCATTAAACTATAATACATTTTTACCCGATATGCAAAATAATAGTTTAAACTCTACAGTCATACACAATGAAAACCTCAATGGAACTAGGAATCTTACTCAACAAGATATCCAGACACCATCACACTTCATAAATGAAGAAATCGTACACACAACAACTACACAACAAAGTATTTCACCAATACGTCCAAACTTAACAACACCAAGAAATACAAATCCTTCACAAACACAGGTAACATTACAATCAACCGTTAAACCTTCGGTTGCCCCAAAATATTGACACATGGATTACCAAACATACAGACCCATGACAATACCGCCAAAAACACGCAAAACGTTCACTAGAAACAACTTTGCAGACCATAATTATAATTACACACATCCATCAAAAACAAATTATCAACCACGAAAAAATTTTAGTAATTATACAAGATCTCGAAACTGGGATAACCCAATGGCACCACCTAATTCAGTAAATTTCCAAACAAATATACATCCTCCACAGGATCGTAGTGAAAACTATCCATTTTTTCAACAAAATAAAAATAAAAAACAAACATCTTATCAAATGGATTACTTATCCTCAGATGATGATTTCTTACAACCAGATATATTTACACCCTATAATCAAGAATATCGTGCACAAGGAATACAGAAACCACATACATATCATAGAATTTTTTCTCCACAACCAATAGATACACAAAATCAACAACCAATTCAACAACAAAACCCAATTAATACACAATCTTTTCAACCAATTCAGCAACAAAACCCAATGATTGCAAACTCGTACCAACCAGCACAAATGCAAAATGAAATACCACTCCCATATTATCTTCAACAACACGAAATAACAAGAAATCAACTTTCAAATTTTTCTCAAATGCCAAATGCAGCAGAATCATTACAAATGACGATGAATCCATACCTTATGGGTGGATCATCAATAACATCAAATAAACCTTTAATGGTATTCACAGGAACAGACCCTGAATATTCTGTAGAAGACTATTTAAATGCAGTCACAGCAAATTTGATTTTAAATATAGGACCTGAACCAATTAATACGCCACTACATCAAAACTGGATACATCGACGCACAGCGTTAATACAAACAACTCTAGATGGCGCAGCCCAAAAATGGTTTTCAGTATTGCCTATAGAAATAAAATCAAATTGGAAAAGATTTACACAAGAATTTTCAAAAATGTTTGACTCCGAAAGAAACAAACAACAACAAAGAGTTTTATGTAATGAAATTCGCAGATTACCAAACGAAACCATCAAGCAATTAGCAGTACGAATCGAAACACTAGTTCGAAAAGCATATTCATTAAATACACATGACTATAAAAACACAAAGATGACAGAAATCTTAATGATGACCTTAACACCACAATTAAGGAAAATAGCAATAAAAAAGAGAGCATCCCATCCTTCGTCAATTCGAGAACCCGATTTAGATTTTCGAAAACTAGTAGACAAACTAGAACAAGCAGAAATCACAATGAAACTCGAAGAAACGGAAAATCTGAAATTACAATACGTTAACAGAATTGAAACAGCTTCCACAAATATAAACAATATACAGGAATCAGATACAGATCTCGTTGAAAAAATCACTGAAATACTCAATATTTACGAAAAACACCCAAACTTTAAAGGCAAACCATCTTTCAAAAAATGGTGTAATTATTGCCGACGATACGGACATAGTATTTCTGAATGTAGACAAAAACAGCAAGACAATCAAAATAAACCTCAAAAACATAAAGAACCAAATAAATCATTCTATCAATACATGAAAAAAGATCAAAATCTACCGAACAAAACAGTCTACAGCAACAACAGTTCAGGAAAACCACTCCCGAACAATACAAATTATACAAGAAATCAATCACCATATAACTCAAGTTATAGAGGAAG